TCTAATATTTATTTATTTATTTATTTATTTATTTATTTATTTATTATTTACTTATTTTTGCTACAGGCAGTGTTTGGGTAATCTGCAAAGGGTAATCTGCAGTATCATCGATATCACTTGAGATTTTGTTAGAAATGCAGATTCACAGGCCCATATTATACCTACTGAATCTGATTCTCTGGAAGTTAGGCTTAGGAAACTGTGTTTTGTTTTTAGTATTATCTTTTTAATGTTTATTTATTTTTGAGACAGAGACAGAAACAGACGAGTGGGGGAGGGGCATAAAGAGAAGGAGACAAAGAATCTGAAGCAAGCTTCAGGCTCTGAGCTGTCAGCACAGAGCTCAATGTGGGGCTTGAACCCAGAAACTGAGAGATCATGACCTGAGCCAAAGTCAGCTGCTTAACTGACTGAGTTACCCAGGGACCCAGGAATCTGTGTTTTAACAAGCTCTCTGGATGATACTCAGATCTGCTAAAATTTGAAAACACAAGACTGGATAATGAGGAAAGGCACTCAAAGAAGTCAGAAAGCTTAGAGTAAGCAAACTTTGTGATTCCTTCTTCCCACCAAAGCTGAATTAAAAGAAAATCACTTAGAAAGCAAATGAAAGTCTCTCTTGTCTCTAGAGAAGACATAATCCCATTGGACAGCAATGTTACAAAGATAAGGAACAGTCGTTTGCACAATGGCATTTCTCCTAAGTGGGGAGGGGGCTTATAGTTACGGTATTACAGGGCATAAATTTTTTTTAATGTTTATTTATTTTTGACAGAGAGAGAGAGAGAGAGAGAGAGAGAGAGAGAGAGAGAGAGACAGAGCATGAGCGGGGGAGGGGCAGCGAGAGAGGGAGACACAGAATCCAAAGCAGGCTCCAGGCTCTGAGCTGTTAGCACAGAGCCCAACGCAGGGCTCCAACTCACAGACTGCGAGATCATGACCTTAGCCGAAGTCGGATGCTCAAAGGACTGAGCCAACCAGGTGGGGGCATAAATTCTAATACGAATGCATTACAATGTTCAATACAAGTTTGGGATTACAAACATTACTGCTGACTTCCTTTGGTATGAATACTTAGAGTTAAATATCACAATAATTGCTACATCTCTGATCTAAGTTATTAGACCACAGTACATAAATGTACTGTGTACATATTTCCCAAGTTTTTCTCAGCACATTCAACCTATGGGCTTCACTCATCACTTGCAGACAAAACACTGGTAACTCCAAAAAAGAGCATTTTATGGACAAATAAAGTATAACTTCTACCTGTGAATGGTAGATCCCAACTAGCATTACCCTTAATGACTAAAGAATAATAGATCTAAGAACTGGACCTAGAAATAGCCATCCCCTCCCCTGGGAACGGAGCAAGGAGGTCCCCAGGAAGCCTGAAAGTTTACATAGGCCAATCCACCAGTAACATCAGTAACATCTGCCTTCGGAATGATATTAACCAGAAATATCGGAAATATTGGGGAAAAACACAAAGGCTAAAAATAGTTTTCATATTGTAGCAATAAAAAATCAGAGAAGCTATTACCTTTCAACTGTTTTAACCCTCAAAGTCTGGGGATGTACAATGAGATTAAGATCAATGAAATCACTAGTTGGTGAATTGGACCAATTTAAAAATTAACCAACTTAATTGTCACTCTGTAGCTACTCTATTCCTCAGCTAACAATATTTAAAATATACATATGTAATTTTTTCATCCCTCTAAGTCTCTTTCCTTATGAAGACAAAAACATCTTATTTTTGGTAATGATGCTCTTTTTAATTTTTTTAATGTTTATTTATTTTTGAGAGAGAGAGAGCGCGCGGGGGGGGGGAAGGGGCAGAGAGAGAAGGAGACACAGAATCCAAAGCAGGTTACAGGTTCTGAGCTGTCAGCACAGAGCCTGACACGGGGCTCGAACTCACGAACCATGAGATCATGACCTAAGCCAAGTCGGATGCTTAACCGACTGAGCCACCCAGGTGCCCCGTGATGCTTTTTTTAATACGTGTATTTTATGTATTTACTAGTAAAAAAAAAATCGTATTCTCTTTGATGAGAAATATGAAATATGAAAATATTTTTCATTTTCCATTTTTAGTAGATATCATAACAGCTTTTGATTAAATCCAGATGATTAATCATTATTTTCATTAATTATCCAGACAAAGATGTGCGTACATTATACTTCTACTTCCTGACAACAGAGGGTCTCTTGGCAAACTTGATTAATTTGTTTTGCATCCAAATTAACTGAAGCATAAAAATGAATACTAGTAATTTCCAGCAATCTGAAGAAAATTAAAGATAAACAGTAGGAAAAATAATAGTAGAAAAAAACACATTGTTTTACAAGAAACATTTGTTAAGGCTTTGTCATTGACAAAAAGAAAAAAAATGCCTTAGTAACTGTTGAGAAAATATGAAAGTTTTCTCAATTTATATTGTTAATATTTAATTTTGGAGCAATATAATGGTGGAAATCAGGAGTGCTTCTTATCATTTTGAATTCATATGGCCTCAAGAATTAACAAAACTAACTTTAGATTTTTTTTAAGCTCTAAAAAACCCTGCTAACAGATCATTACTCTTAGAGTCCAGTATGCTGGACAAAAAAATAACGTATATTGACCAGAGGGAAGCGATTGTGCAGAGTTGGAATGCCAATATAGAAATCAAATCCACTATGGAAAACTTATTTATTTACAATCCTGCTCTCTTGACAAAATAACGTGGGAATGAGGGGATTGCACGTAGAACAGACAAAGGATAAATAGAAAGGAAATCTTCCTTTATTTTGATAAAAACACTCTATACAGATGCAGAGGTATATTTGAAATTAATAGTCATATATAATTTTTGAGGCATAACTCTGATTTGTATAAAGGTACCAGTTTAAGATATTTTCAAAAGCCTGGCTCATATATTCATTTATTTTACCCCTGTATAACCACTAAGTTGTGAATTAGTTAGCTGATTTCAATACTTCATTTTAATTAGAAAACATTATTGCGGCACTTAGGTGGCTCAGTCAGTTGACCTGGGATCTCGGCTCACTTCACGATCTCATGGTTCGTGGGTTTGAGCCACAGGTCAGACTTTGCACTGACAGCATATTCTCTCTCTCTCTCTGCCCCTCTCTGCCCTCAAAAACAAATAAACATTAAAAAAAAAATTCTTTAAGAAAACATTATTTATACACTTGGAGGTAATTTCAAGAGATTTCAAATTACATTATTGAAAAGAGTAAAATGAAAATGCTAAGGTTAATACCATATACGTGTGTGTGCACATATACACACATATATATAAAATATAAAATACTATAATTTTATATAATAATTTTTCAACCTGCCTTAAATCATGAAGCCAGCAGACAAACCTAGTGTATAAGGTATACTATCTTTTTTGTAAATAGATATGTAAAATGTTTTTCAAACAGCAGGTGGCAATCTTTGTAAATGTGATTGCAGCAACATTTTTAACTGTACATATGCAGATGAAAGATGGTTTTAAATGGCCGGTTAAGATCCTTGGCATATTCACAATAGTTTAGATAACTTCAAATATTAAAAGGGTCTTATTTAATCATGTCTTACTGTTCTAATGAAATTTCTTTTTGGGCAAATAAGTGTTTTGTTTAATGTTTCTTAATTCTTACGGAGCACAGGTGGAATTTCACATTACTAATCTTGTATAGGTACCCCTAATAAAATTCTACTTGGTGGTTATCACTTATCATTCTGAATTCAGGTGGTCTTAAGAATTAACAAAGATAATTTTAGATCTTTTCTAAGCTCTAAAAAAATCCTACTGACATATTGTTACTCTTAGAACCCAGTTTCTATTGGTATTAGTGTTGAACTGTGAGAAGTCTTTAGAATTCTAACTATGGAGAAAAACAAAGCTTTGACTCATGGATATCTCTTAGAATGCCTTGTTTGTTTGTTTTTTCCCCAAACTGATGCAGTCACATTTGGAAATCCATTGCTTTCTGAACTGAAAAGGAACCTTAAACAGCTGAACTATCCACACCTATTGGAACTAGATAGCCAGAGAGATAAGCTAGCTTGCCCACAAGGCATTACTAGCAGAAAGTACCTTTAATAGGGTCTTCAAATTCTTTTAAGTTTTCAGCACTTCCTTTATATACAGCTATGAAACTTAAAAATTTCACCCTATCATCTTTTTAGTATGTTTATAATAATTTTGTCTATGGTATCATTCTAAAATCCTAATTTTCAATTATTTATTGAGTCCTCAGTATGTCAATAATATTTTATGTAATGTATGCACAATTAGGAAGGAGTCTTTGTTGTAAAAATGGTCTATTAAAATATATGATCAGTAATCTGGGCAATTGTTGACTTTTCATTTTTTTCTATCCTTATTTGTAAAATCCTTTAATGTAGTAACATTTCCATTCTTTCACCACTAATTAAGACCTTATGTTTTCATTTTAAAATGCATTCCTCCTAGCAGAAAATGGGACAACCAGGGCAAGTTAATGGGGATGCCCAAAGTCCTACATGGGGATGGATTAACAGAGAAATTTAAAAGTTTCTGAATTTCAAACATCATCTCTTTATTTTCTCACTCAGCTATCTAACACTTATATCTTTCTACTTCTATCATAAATAATCCAAGGCAACTGGTTTTGTGTTCTCAGTCAACAAATACTTCAAGAACATAGTGAAAAATATAGTACCCCAAACTAATTTAAATCCTGTCTAGCCATGTTATTGTTCAATTGGGCTTCCTTTGTATAATCACATTTTTCAATGTGATATTACAGCAAATAATTAAAAAACTCATGGAGGCAACAGTCTATGACACATAAACAGAGGGAACCTCATACATACATTACAGAAACAAGTAAACTGCCACTTATCATTAGCAATCCTTCAATTGAGCAATTATTGCCCTTAATGACAATATTTTTAATCCTTTTTTTTAAGGTAACAAAATATTTCCATTGGGATAAACTCAGTTCATTCTCACCAGGACATCGTTGCTCACTGCATCTTCTCACTTCTTCACCTGTTCCTTCACATTGCTGTCCTGTTATTGCTGCACCCTGACAAGTCCTTATTCGCCTTTCCCAGCCGCCATCACAGGACTTGGAACATCCGCTCCAATGACCCCACTGATTCCACTGACCATTGGCTGAAAGAAATGCATCATGGTCAATGGCAGTAGCCTACTGAAACTGTTTTAAGAATTTTGAAATCTGAGGACCATTACTGTCTGTTCATTTTTTATTAAGCTACCACAACAAACAAGCTGTATTCAAATATTTGGCTTGCTAGTCAAATATAGAGCACTGTGATTAACATAAGTTTATATAAATTTGTCAGAATCTTCAAATGGACATTGAAACTTGTAAAAAGGACAAGTTCAGTACTAAACTTCATCAACTTAATTTATATTTAATCTAAGAATCTCCAGAATTTTGTTGCTTCATGAGTATGGCATACAGTAGGATTAGCTCTGGTACAAGTGCTAAAAGCTAAATACAGAATCATCTAATTGTCCCATGATTGTCTGGCACGGTCCTGCCACATTTTATAAATGGCAGACATTCTTTAAATGTAGTGATAGGCCTCACCTGTACACTCAGGGTTATAGCACTCTCTGCTTTCTGCCCATGGCCCTCTGCATTCAGAGCCCCCATGAGCTGCTGCAGTACACTGCCGGCTTCTCTGCTGGGTCCCATTCGAGCATGTCACTGAGCACTGACTCCATGAACTCCACTCTTGCCACTGCCCATCGACTGCCAAAGCAGAAAAAGAGACAGTGTAAAGAGATGGACCAATAGAGAGAGCTGTCCAGAAAGTATAAATTAAAATTAACCTTGGAGATGAATCTCAACCAGGAAACTCTAAGTGAATATAATGGAAAGTCGCATTGGCATTAGATTTTATTATTACCCCCCCCAAACTATTATTACCTTATTTTCTCATTTCTATTTCCTTCTATGTATCCAGTTTCTCTTTTGAGCCACTATTGCTTCAAAAATATTTATTGATTACTCAACAATGAGAGATCTCGAGCTAGGAGATGAGTACACAGAACAGTGAATAAAATAAATCCTGACCAATAACTCATAGAGCTCATGTTTTAAAGAAGGAATGAAACAACTAACTAAAAGCTAAATAAATTAATTATATAGCATTGTCTCAAAGGATAATTTCAAGACACTGTAAGAGTTTGCAGGGCCTGAGGAGTCTTCTTTGACAAACTGAAGTTTCAGGCAAGCCTTAAAGAATGAGAAATAACATGACAGATGTTACGAGAAATAGGGAAATAAAAGAATAGGAATCCTACCCTCAAAAAATTTGTAATTTAGTAGAAGAATCACATTATGCACACGAATACATAAATAAAAGGTTAAAAGCAGTAACATCTTAACATGGCACATAAAGTAAATTATCACATCTACTTAGGGATAATTATGTTAGATTGATATGGTGAGATGTGGATAATTCAGACAAAGGAGACAGCACCCACAAAGGCATAATCCTATAGACCATAAAACACAAGTGAGCAAAGGAATCAGGCAAAAATATTTATCCAATTTAGAATGCATAAACTAGAATATAAGTATTATAAATGCACTGGTATATGACTGTCTGCGTTTTTCTCCATATCATTCCATGGTTCTTAGTTTCATTGCAGTGAAAGAGAATTCACCATAAATCCAAAACTCCAACATAAGATAATACTGCGGTGAAAACTCATCCACCCATCCAAACAAACAAAAAAGACTGGCAGAATATGAGTAAGTATTGCCAACCTAATTTCAGGCCTTGAAGGTAGCTATTAAAAAAGAAGATTATTTAATAGGTATCTACCTGTACTTAATAAACCCCTTGTGAGATTAAAAATCATGAAATACCAATTTAATCATCCCATTCATGTAATTTTAGCCTTTCACTTCATTAAAAGTATCTGATACAATCCTACTGGCTATGTAGTCCATTTGCCAGACAAAAAAAGAAAAGGCTAGTGAATCAATGGAATGTTATAAATTACCCATTTCCTCTCTATTTTGGCTTTAAAGATGAGTGCATTTCTCACTTCAGAAGTTTGCTTTTCAAAGATAGTATCTCTTGAGCTTGCATTATGAGCTCTCACTATACTAGGCATTCCTAGAAGAGTTTACAAAAATAAGATTTGTATCTGCACCTTATCATCTTTTGGGAAAAGAATGTACAGGTATTCAAATTTGTGACAATATTCAGAAAGCAACACATAAACAAAGACAAATTAGAGGATTTCAACCTGACTGAAAGCTGAGTGACTAGAATAAAGGAGTATGTGATGTCCTTGAGAATTCTGGTTTGAGGTAAACTTGTAGTTATCTTTATTTTTTAAATGAATGTAACAGTTACAGACTCACTGGCAAAGAAGAGAGGATAAGTCTTTCCAGCTAAGAAGATGTGGAGTCAGGTATGAGCAAATCAAAGGTGGAAATCAGAGAGAAGATAATTTGGCAGGGTGTTGTATTATCGGTGAGAAATAAGAAAAGACCTTGCTGAGATTAGGAAAAATGAGAATATTTGTGAAGTGTTTTGCTCAATAGGGTTTTCCTAAAAGAAGACTTTGCACCACCATTAGTAAATAAATAAATAAATAAATAAATAAATAAATAAAGTAAGTAAGTAAGTAAGTAAATAAAAACATTTTAAATTCATACATTTGTAGTATTAGTCATTCAGTCCTTTCTGCCAATGTACACATTCTGTTTTGGTTGAAGTTCAAGAATGGGTTAACATTAAACTTTTGAGGGACTTGGGGCGCCTGGGTGGCACAGTCGGTTAAGCGTCCGACTTCAGCCAGGGCACGATCTCGCGGTCCGTGAGTTCGAGCCCCGCGTCAGGCTCTGGGCGGATGGCTCAGAGCCTGGAGCCTGTTTCCGATTCTGTGTCTCCCTCTCTCTCTGCCCCTCCCCCGTTCATGCTCTGTCTCTCTCTGTCCCAAAAATAAATAAACGTTGAAAAAAAAAAATTTAAACTTTTGAGGGACTTTTTGAGGTTCAACACAACCAAACACATCAACAAAACATATATTTTAGATAGGTACAGGTTTGCTCATAAAGTTAGTTACAGAAAAGAAATAGCAATGAAACTGAAGTCATATCAAGTGGATGTTTTCACACTGAAAACTAGTTCCTTTTACTGAACATTATCTGCACCATTATGAAAGACCTGATTTGACAAAGTGACTGAGAAAAAAGAGGAAAACCCAATATTCCTTTGGAATGTTAAGTCAAATTTATTGGGAAAATGGAAAATTGAGAAGTTAGAACCAGAGAGATACATCAATTTAGTTTAAAGCATTAGACAACAGACATACACATGAAAGAATTTCTTTTAGTGCCAAGTGTGGGACATTGCTTTAATTTTTTTTTTCAGTTTGATACCCTTAAATTAAAAAAAAATCATTTAATTGTGTTCTTTTTAGGGACATCAGACTCAAGACCTTTCAGGAAATGGTAGAGTTATTTTACCAAATTGGGAAAAAGTTGAGGATTTTGAGAGGTGGAAATTAAGAGTTTTGTGTTAGACATTTAGCCATTTTTAAAAATTTTTTTTTAACGTTTATTTATTTATTTTTTGAGACAGAGAGACAGAGACAGAGCATGAATGGGGGAGGGTCAGAGAGAGCAAGACACAAAACCTGAAACAGACTCCAGGCTCTGAGCTGTCAGCACAGAGCCCGACACAGGGCTCGAACTCACGGACAGGAAGATCATGACCTGAGCCGAAGTCGACCACCCAACCGACTGAGCCACCCAGGCGCCCTGACATTTAGCCATTTCTAAGAAGGACATATGTATTATATTTTAGGTATAAATGTCAAGATATTTAAAAATAAAAACCATTCACCATATGATCTATTTTATATTTATTTTTATAACCACTTATCTAAGTACTACAAGAAATGAAGTGGCTGCCTTTTTTGTTTTTATCGGATGCTTTACTGGGAATCTTTCATCCCTACATTCAGGTTTCCTTTCCACTTGGGTGAGTATGGAGGCAGCAGAGAAAACCAGCCCTTTTCCCCACCACCCACCTGCCCCTGTATACCACAGACTTCCAGTATTTTTAAGAGATACACTCCAGAAGCACTGCAAATCCACAAACTTGAAAATACTTCAAAGTTTCTTTCTAAAATTGAGTTCCTACTGAACGATGATTAACATCTTATTCGGTCAGAAAAGAGGTCTCAATAATTAGAGAAAATGTAAACACTCCAAACCTCTTCCTGGAGTCCTCTAATTCACTCATAGGTAAAGGAACAAAGAAAGTACACTGTGACACTGATAGACTCTGGGAAAACTGTAGTGACAAAGACCCACCAAGCTGTCTTCTCATGGAACATATAGTCTGAGAGGGGAGTGAAGACAGATGATAAACAAGTAAATAAATGAATGAACAAGAGAGTTTTAGCCAGAAGTGTCATAAAGACAATGTGATGAAAGAGGACAACATGTTAGGGTATGCTCAGCCATGCCTCTCAGAAAAACAAAACAAAACAAAACACTCACATATTAGAGCTGAGTCCTGAGTCATTAACAGCAGCCGGAAATGTGAAGATCTGTGAAAATCTTTACACAGGTACAAAGTCCTGAGGCCAAGAAAATTTTGTGTATTCCAGAAAAGAGAAAAGGCAGGGGCTTCTGGGGATCACAAAAAGGGGGGGAGTGGCAGGAGATGGGCTCAACAGTGTGCAGAAGCCAAATCCACGGGGCCCTCCAGTCCTTGTGACCAGGTCATATCAGAAGCCATGAGAGGATTTGAAAGTAGAGAAATGATGTGATGTAATTTATACCTTAATATTTAATTTTGGAGTTGTGATGATAATGGATTGTACAGGGCAAGCTTCAGTCTTGTGAGATAGTAGGGGACTATGCTGTAGCCCAGACAGAGGTGACAGTAGCTTAGATTATAGTGCCATCAGTCAAGACAGAAAGAAGTGGATGAACTTGTGGTGCTGTCTAGATGTACAGCTGATAGGTTGGCAGTGGAGCATAGTAAAACAGAGAATCCTGGTCGACTTTCAGATTTCTGGCTTACTGAAACAGGTAAATGGTGGACCCTTATGCTGAACTGTATTAGACTAGGATTCAAACACATCAGGGGGTATATAGCCCTGATATCAAAATGTCTATTTTGAATATGTTGAATTTCTGATACCATTATAGTCATAATGCAGGGGGTCCTATATCACATTAACTCTGTTTAAAATTAGGCCTCCCAAAAGTACTTGAAATGTAATCATCCCTCCTCTCTTTTCTTTTTTTGGAACACTGTTTGGTAAATATTGCATTAAATTACGTAATTTCTTCTATAATATGTAGCTAAGTTAAGAACACCTTCTTAGGCTTTTTCCATTTCTCTTCATTTCCATCATAAGCATTTGCAGTTCATTTTTTTGTAGTGTTATTTTTCAATTTAGAAACTCCAATTGCCTATTATTTTATGAGCTATCCTACAAAGGTGACTAAGAATAGAGAATAATAAGGCTGTGTTTTGAAGCTGGGAGAGTGCTGAGAGATCAGCCTGTCTTACCATCATGCAGTGTGCTTCCTTATACAACAATGTCACCCTGGGGACAGTTAAAGTTTCGCTTCAGCAATGTGATACATTACTAGATTTTCTGGACCCAGAATAATTAAAATTGCAAAGTCTAAATTGCTAGATTCCTGGGGTTTACTTTGTTATATGAACTTCCTCCTGCCATATACAGAGAGTTGCTATTGTGTTC